CGCGGCGTCGCGCCTGCTGCAGGGCGTTGTGCACGGCGAGCGCGCGTCCGAACTGCGGCGACAGCAGCAGCGCGTGCACCGCCGCCAGCTGCGCCTCCAGCGGCGACAGCAGCGCCGCCGCGCCCGCCCCGCCCGCGCCCGCAGACTTCTTCAGCTGCAGCTGCAGCCGCTGCAGCGACGCCACCAGCTCGCCGTACCCTGCCAACACACACGCACGAGTTACACAAGGTAGAAGAGGAAATTTTTTTTGCTTTTTTTGCACCCTGGAACGTTGACAGCACTACCGAGTTTCTGCGCAGGCGCAGTTCTCATAATTTCTGTGCATCTGAGCATACGCAGAAGATTGGTTTGCTGTCGAGTGCTGCCCGTTAAACGATTCAAAATCTTCCTCGTGAATGCCAATTTCAGCAGAACACGCATAAGGATTTGCATCCTTGAACTTTAAAGCAATCGACTATCAATCTTCTGCAGAAGATCGATAGTGATGTCCGCTGTGGCTTGCGCAAACTCCCCATGTTCTCATTAGGGAGTTTCTGTTCCATCGGACGTTAAACCCATAAACAGCATTAACAATCTTCTGCGCAAATTGCAGTTTAAATTTCGCATAATTTTTGTGCAAGTGCGCATGCGCAGAGGATTGAAAATGCAGTCAATTTTGGCCCGCTAAGGCGTTCAAAAACTACCCTATAAAATGCCAAGTTCATCACAACATCGCCAAGCCATGGCAATGCTAAGTTCATCACAATGATATTTCGATTCATCACCAAAAGTGTTTTGATGTCGATCGACAAAAAACAAACTTATAACATTTAAACTATACAAACTTTAAACATTAAACAATATAATGTTTAAAATATACTAGATGTTTGAAATTTCTTAAAATAAATGTTATTTTCCCATCCTGTTTCCATTTTTAATTAGAGTACTTGAATGAAATACAGCTATATTTTTTGTTTTCTCACGTGTAAACAATGTTAATAATATTTATTGAATGCTAGTAAGGAAAAAAATAAAGACGTCGTGATTTCCTATTACTTTATTTATTAATTTTCATTCATAAATCGTTCACGTAAAAAGTCCTGTATCTAATATACATAATACGTAAATGTTAGTTTACTGTATATTCTGCCTGAAAGCCGCCTGTCATCTTAATTTCCTCTACAGATAAAGTTTAAAATGCAATTCAACGATATTACCATGTACAAAGTGATCGAAAAGGATACGTACTAATTTTTCTACACGTGAAAAATCCGCTTAGACTGTTAAAGGACAACTTGCAGTCTACACGACAACCTTAGTCTACACGACTTGTAATCTACAGAACTTTTCACTTGTAAACTATAAAGACGTGGTAATCTATGTAGACTACTTAATAAGCCACATTAAATAATTTAAAAAACGATGTAAGTAGTGGTAATAGTATATTACCACTAATGGTAATATTAGTGGTAATAATATACATATTACCACTGATAATACGTATAAAAAACAGCAGTTTTATATTTGAAATTTTCTGATCGATTCAGCATTTAATCGAAGTAACTAAACATATTACAGGCGTTTCATTAGCTAGATCTGCAGATATCTTAAGCTCTAGAAAAGGTTGGCAAAGTTATGTCATAATTAATACACTACAAACTTTTAAAAAACAAAAATTAAGTAATGGACTCCAGAGCCTATCGCATACATTCTTGTTTTAGTGACTTTTTTGATGCTACTGTCAAGTTAAAAAATTGATAACTAATACCATGTACTTTCTTTTAAACAAAAAATAAATTTCTATAAATGAAAAAAGTTGTTATTGAACTACATTCATAATCCTGCAAATTTCTGCATGATTTTTGGTGCCATAAGAGATTGTTTTTAAAGTTAGTATACAAAAACATATTGTACGTAGACTTTTAATCCTACGCATATTTCCCAAATGTTTTCTGAATATTCAGATCCGAGCTTTCACACATAGCCAAATACCAAGTAATAACCAAGTTATACAACCACATAAAATACATTGAATCATATTTTGAACACAAAGCTCATCAGAAATAATATCAATAATTTTAAAGTAACCAAAAATATTGCAACCTAAAACAAATCATCGGCGGGTCCCTTAAACCGCTTCCACCTCGGAAATGCTAGAGTTAAAGATATGAATGGTGACGCGTGTATTAATGCGAGTGTGTATGAGAGGAATCTTGAATCCACGCGCGTTGAAACCATTTCATTTTTAAATCACGTAAATGCTCTTTTACTCCTTGCATCACTTCCACTGCTGCACGTTCACATCTTCAGAAGATGAAACTTGATATTCACAGCTAGTTTCCTCCGCTTGATTTTACACTCGTTACGAAGAGGAAAAGAGCGCACACAAGAGTTTCTGTGTCGGGGGAGGTGGCTCAGGGCATCAACAGATGTCACTGCAGTGCCTCTGACCGGGAGGTCCTAGGGTTACACTCTCCACGGTGGAAGCATTTTCCACACTACCTACACAGCTAGGTTACGAGCGAAGTTACTGGGAGAGGTGGCTCAGGGCATCAGCTGATGTCACTGCAGTGCCTCTGACCGGGAGGTCCTAGGGCTACACTCCCCACGGGGGCAGTATTTTCCACACTATCTTAGCAGTTAGGTCAAATTCAGTCGTTGTCTGGAGGACAATTCTAGCGGCCGGCAGCTCTGATCTGTATTTTTGGGCCACTGGTGCGATCTTTCCTTCCTCTCCTAACATCATATCCTCACCCCCTTACACACGTACATGCAGTACCCTACCGCACATGTCAGGAGGTTGGGAGCTTAGAGCTTGTTCCGGTGCCGTACTGGTGGGAGATACTTGGTCGGGGAAAAGCCGACGGTATGTCGGCGCCGGATTTCACCATCCCGCGGGAGAAGACCGCAATAAATAAACACCTTACACTTACGGGACTAATGACCTTTGCAGCAGGGGCGCCCGGAATCACCAGTGAACGTATGGGGAGGGACGGCGGGCGGCGAGAATTGACTGGGCCCCGACGCGGCAGCCGCAGCCGCCAGTCGCCCGCAGCGCCCTCCTTCGCTCGCCCGCCCGCTCGCGTCGCCCTCTGGGAACCTGACGCCGCGCGCTCCCACGCGCCCAGGGCGGGGAAAGTGGCGGTGGGAGAGAGAGAGACCGGGCGGGGCGGGGCACAAGGTCGGGACGCGCCACAGAGGAGAAGAAGGAGAAGAAGAACGGAGGGTGGGAGGGAAAGACAGAGAGCGAGAGGGAACGAGCGATCGAGAGAGAGAGAGAGAGAGAGAGAGAGAAACAGAAAGAGATAGGGGAGAAACAGAGAAAGGCCGATTGAGTGAAACCGAAGGAGAGAGGAAGAGAGAAAGGGAGAGAGAGTGATCGAGAAGGTGATCGAGAGAGAGAGAGACAGTGATCGAGAGAGAGAAAGATCGCACGAGAAAGAAAGAGTGATCGAGAGAGAGCGAAAGGCAGGGAGAGATCTCGACGGCAATTTGACTGCGAACTTGGGCTGAGGGGATGAAGGATTACCAGTTCCGTGAGGATGGCACGTAAGGTGTGACAAATTTAGAGGAGGATCGCGGCCTGAGATCAGGGAGCGGGTGGGAGGCGGAGGGGTTGGTGGGAAAGAGGCGTTGGCTGAAAGAGGCGAGTTGGAAGAGAGGCGAAGGTGATGGGGTGCGGGCGAGGGAAGAGAAGGTGGGGCACGGACACACACAGCGATAAAGGCGGGACGAGGTCAAATGTAAGAGTGGTAGGGCGAGTTGGAACGAAGATGGGAGAGGCCGAATGCAAACGACCCGGGTTATGACCCGGATGCGATCGAAGAATCTTCGGTTTTGATTGGTTGATCGACTGTTTAGTGATTTCGGGCACGACAACTACCAGGGTCATTAGTCCCGTGAGTGCAATGCATGTTGTTTGCTCAGGAGGTGGCGGTGACTTTTCCCCCGCCGGGACAATCGCTTACGTTTCCGACCGGTCTCCCGGCAAGTCTGGAAGTGTTGTGCATGTGAGTGTTTGTAAGTAAAAAGAAAGTATTGGACAAGGAAGGAGACGGTGAGATCGCGCGCGTTCCGTGGCCCGTTTGTTAGGGCTCCGGCGTTCGCCTGGTGTTGATCGGAGAAACCACGGAAAACTAACAATAAGAACAGACGACCGCTAGAATTCCCCTGCAGACAGCGACTGAATTGGACTAGCACACACGTTAGTGTGGGAAATCCTGCCACTGTCGAAATTCGAAATTAGGACCTTCCGGTCAGAGGGATTGCGGTGAAGAATCGTCGAGCCTTATTATTTTACTCCTCCCTCGAGGCCTTTGCTCCTCTACCTTCTTCGACCTTTATTCTTCTACTGTTCGCCTATTCAAGCGATCAAAGCTTTCTTTCCTAAAACACGCGGATTTTGAGACCTTCTGCTAAGTGAGTTACCAGATTCACTGAAACTTTCCCATTTAGATGTGCAAATATTTTTACAATATGACAGTGACCATTTCTTTTGGTGTAGTCCCTTCATTTCTTTCCCTTTTTATAATTAGATGGCTTGAGGGTTCTTTCAGGTAAAGTTTATTACCTTATTATTACAAACCCACTTGTATCGCTACTGACTTTTTGTTTTAACAGAAATATGGAATGAACATAAACGCATGAAAGCGGTTGCAGAGTGCATTATTCTTCTGTGGACGGCGGCAGTCCTCTAAAAATTATCTGCTGTACAGGAAACAAATGCTTCATTGAATTAATGCACAAGGTATTGATTCAATGTTGTTACGATACACCTACGTTTACAAAGTCAATCACAAAAAACGCATGCCCTTTATCATTTCAGAACTTCATTAGCGACTGCGTAATATGTCAGAAACAAAAATTTGATTTGATTTGATTTGAGTGAAAGTGATATGTGGAGTTTGATTGATTAGTGATTCCGAGCGCGTCAATTGCCAAGGTCATTAGTCCCGTAAGTGACGTACATATTTCCACGGGAAGTGATGGTGATCTTTCCCGCTGGCACCGACCTACCTGTTGGATAGCGCGGTTTTTCCTCAACCAGGTATCTCTCACCAGCGGTGGCACCGCCCCAGCCGGGACAAGCTCTAAGCTCCCGACCGCTCTCCCGGCCTTTGTGCTAGTGTAGTGCATATTTCCTTCCTCGGGAGGAGGAGTTACTCGTTACCAGGTATCTTCCACCAGCGGGGCACCGCCCCAGCCGGGACAAGCTCTAAGCTCCCGACCGCTCTCCCGGCATGGATGGTGGTGTAGTGCATATAAGTGCAAGCGTGTGTAATTAAGGGACGAGAATGGGATAAAGAAGAGGAAGAGAAGGTCATGCGCGATCCGTGACCCATTAGGTAGGTACTGCTCTGGCAATCCCCTAGCGTTGAGCGGAGGAACCACGGAAAACTACCGATCACAGCAGCCGGCTGCTAGAATTCGCCTCGAGACATCGGCTGAATTGGACCAAGTTTAGTAGCTAGTGCCCAAAATTCTGTCTCCGTCGGCACCCGAACCTTAGGACCTCCAGGACAGAAACACTGCAGTGGCATCAGTTGATGCCAAGAGCCACCTCTCCTGGTATGGTACATGGGAGAGCGGTAAAACCTGACTCAGCACATTTTCACTTCCGATACAACACATTTGCAGCATTTACTTACGGAAGCTACCGTTAGGATGGCAGCCCTGGATGATTTTCGTAGGATTACTACGCCGCAAGTCGGAAGAGAGCCGACGTTCCACCCACGCTTGGAGTCGCAGGCGCCATCCTTGACGGGCAACGACCCTGGCGTGCCGCTAGCGACATTACTAACTCTGGCACCACACCTTAATAAAGAGGGGTTACGACCACAGAGTTAGGAGTCTCCCCTGCTTCGCAACACACTTGTTGCATCTTTGCGTACTCGGAGGCGCGTCATTGAACACTACAGAACTCGAGCACTGCGTTAAAGTATCTCAGGAAGGGTTTGTTTCTTCACAATTATTGTCGCTTTGAAAGAAATTTATCTAGTAAGATATTGATAGAACAAAAATCGAACTAGAACGCAGTAAATGTCAGCTTTTAAGGCGTGATGAATTCAGAAATAAAAAATTCTAGTTCAAAGCATGCTGGAGACGTCAATTCACCGGAGTTGCCAAGAACCCAACACAACAGTAAACGTATTAAAGCATGAAATAGGCACACACCGAGATTATCTGCAGAGTTATTGATTTTGTAAGCTATGTCACAAATACTTAGCTACTCACCAGATAGACATGAACGAACTGCGATATTCCAATTACGGGGTCACGATATCACACTGCACCTGTGAAGCCATGATCTGGCACGGCAAGTTGAGAGCTACGGACATACACCACACGTATGGAACTATGGTCTCACACTACAATTATGGCACCACAATCCGACGGTATACTTATGGAGTCATGGTTTGTCACTGCACGAATGGAGTCACGACACTAGACACAAGGAGCCATGGTCTGACACTATTAAGGCATCACTATATGACGGTACATATCTCGAGCCATGGTTTGACACTACACGAATGCAGCTACGATCTGACACTATACTACACATGAAACCATGGTCTGGCACTACACATTTCGAGACACGTTCTGACGCTACACTCATGGAGCCATGGTCTGCCACTACTTAGCACTACTATATGACGCTACACATCGGGGTCCATGGTTTGACACTACACACTACACCAACGCAGGCACTGACGCTACACACACGGAGCCTTTGTCACCGCATGAATGGCGAAACTATCTGACCCGACGCGTACGGAGCCGCGGTCTGACACTGCACGAACGAAGCCGCTGTCTGACATTCCCTCGAGAGGAGCCTCTATCACACGAACCTTGAAAGTGAACCGCAGGTTTCTTGTCGCCTTAGAAACAATTCCACCGGTGGCGGTGCGTGGGACTCCGAACAAAGAGAGATCGCGAGGGAGAGAGAGAGAGCGAAAGGATTTGAGCGCGGCGCGCGAACGGCTGCTGGCAAAGCGACGCCCCGGCGGTCGCGAAACGTCTGCCGGAAGCAGCGACGACGCCGACGACAACAACAGCGTCGCCCCGACACTGGCAACCTCTTCCTCTGGGAGGAGTGGGGGGCTGGCAAGGTGGGCGGGGCAGACGAGTGTGTGTGTGTGTGTGTGTGTGTGTGTGTGAGGGTGCGGTAGAGAGGGTGGGGTGTGCGAAAGCGGTGCTGATTGATTGATTGTTAGTGATGCCGGGCGAGTCGATTACCAGAATCATTAGTCCCGTAAATGTAGTGATATTTTTCTCGAAAGATGACGGTGCCCCCCCCCGCGCTGTGTGGTGAGAACTACCGTCGGTAAGCGAGGGTTTCCCCAACCAGGTATCTCCCACCAGCTGGGCACCGCCCCAGCCCGGACCAGCTCTAACATCCAGACTTGTCTCCCGGCATATGTGGTAGTGTATGTTAGTGTAAGTGTGTGTGTAAGGGGTAGGGATAGGACAAGGAAAAAGGTAGGAAAGATAGCTCGCGCGGTACGTAGCTCGTTTGTTAGGGTACTGCTCCGGCATTCGTCTGGTGTTGATCGGAGAAACAACGGAAAACTATCGATCTGAACATCCGGCCGCTAGAATTCTCCTCCAGACAGCAACAGAATTCGACCTAGCTGACAAGCTAGTGTCGAACATCCTGCCACTGTCGGGACTCGAACGCAGGATCCCTCCAGTTTAGAGGCCCTGTAGAGACGTTAATTAATGCCCTGAGCCATCTCTCCCAGCCAAAAGTGGTGCGATGGCGAATTTTGATACATGGGTTAGTTTTTTTACTTTATTTTCGTTCCTGTTATTTACGTTATTTCATTTTATTTAAAAGGCGACGTCTGGCGGACGAGGATTGATGGATGATCGATGAGGATGGAACGATGAGGATTGATTGGTGAGGACTCACGGGTGATGACTTAGCGACTGACAGAAGGTCAGGATTGTCACACGAAAGAGGATTAACGGTCAGGGCGGAGAACTGACGGATGAGGATTCACAGGCGAGGCCACGATTGACACACGAAAGAGAATCAGGGGCCAGGGCGAAAAAAGAATTGGGGGGCAAGTCGAGGACTGAAGTACGGCGCAACCTTTTTTAAAAATTATATATTTGTAATGTGAATGTTTAGAAATAACTAAAGCCATTGGTGACTACTGTTAATTTACATCAGAGGTACAATAAAGTGTTACAATAATTCAGATCATTTTATCCAGCCCGGAAATATTAAGGTATATTAAAATCGATTTGCAACCTTCAATTGAATTAAATATTCCATTTACATCGTTATTGATCACAAAAGAGGAGCTTAGATTTTGGGGGGTTAAGCATTTGTGAGCGCGGGCCGGGCGACGAACACAGACAGGGCGATGGGGGTGGGGCGATGTTCTCTGACAGGTAGTTCACCTGCGCCCGCGGGGCGGCGGCGTGGGTCGCGCTGGGCGGGTGGGGCGCGCCGGCAGGGTCGGGGGGGGGGGCGGGGGGGACGCGCCGGATGGTCACCGGTTCCGCCATTCCGTATACGGCGGAAGGAAGAGCGAGCAGGCCGCGCGGCGCGGGCGAGGCGAAGGCTGGCTAGAGGGCGATGGCAAGAGAGAGGAGCGGGCGTGTTTCATCAACACAAGAGCACTGGACAAAATGTATAGTACGAAATGAATATAGTGAAGAACTGAACGGTATACGTGACATTTTGTCAATTCTAGGAAAACGTGTTCATTTTAGGCTGTATTAGTTAGCAAATGTATTTCGCTGTTTTAAATAAGAATTAAAATGCCGTGATCTGTAATGATGGCCCAAAACACCAACGACTTTACAGTAAATTGACTCAAACAGATTTCTGTGAACTATAAATGTCACTTACAAACCGTTCTAATTTTCTTCCTTTGAAAATGGCAAAATATGGAGGGATTGAAATTACATCTGTGAGCGGAGTATCTGCCTCTTCTCCGTACCTATTCGGCGAATTTATAAACCCGACGCTGTTATTTTAACTTTGATCGCACACTAATTTAATGTTTAGAGGTTATTACTCAGTCTAAAACATCGATGGTTTTAAGTCGATGTATTGTGAACATCGATGTTTCAATTTTGAATCGTTGATGTTGCTAACATCGACGTGTTGTTATGGATGTAACATCACTACTCCCCGCGCTGCGCTATCCCGCCACTCCCGCCTCGCCTCTCTCCGGCCGCGCTTCTCTCTGTCCGCCCGCTCTCCCTCTCCGCCGTGTCCTCTACCGTACTCTCGCGCCCGCCCTCCCGACTGTCCTGCAATCTCCGCGCGTCCAGGGCCTTATACACCTCCGCTCCCCGCTATACGTTCTCAGCCCCACTTCACTCCACCCGCCACTCCCCGCTCCACCTCTCTCTGACCTGGCACCGCCGCCAGCCCCCTCTTCCTTCCTACACCGCCCGATCCCTCTCACCCCGCCCTCCCACTTCCGCCCGCCCCGTCTGCCCGCCCGGCCTCCACTTCCGATCTGCCTCTCCGCCCCGCTTCTCTCTCACCCGCTCCACCATTCGCGCTCATGCCCATCGTCACCACCCCCTCCCTTCTTTCTGCACAGCCGATTCTCTCTCACCCCGCCCGCCCTGCACTCCCGCTCCGTCTTTCTTAGCCCCGCTCCTCTCCACCTCTTTCCTACCTTTCTCCTATCCTCCCCTTAACAAACGTTTGCACACAGCACGACACTACCCACACATGCCGGTAGACCGGTCTAGATCTTACACTCGTCCCGGTTGGTCGCGTTGGGGAAAAACCCCGCTAGCGAACGGTAGGTCGGCCGCGATTCTGCTTCCAGCAGGAGAAAATCAAAGCCATCCCTCATAAGGAAAGCATGCACTACATTAGGCAACCAACGACCACTAAGTAGTTGACGCACCTGAAAATATCTACCAATCAATCAATCTTACCTTGTCTTCCTTTCCTCCTGCCGTTCTCGGTCAACTTTCGCTCTTTCCCTGTCCTTCCGCCTTCATTGAGCGCACCCTCCGCCGCCGCCGCGCCAAACGGCGGGACAGGGAGACCGGGGGCGGGGGAGGGGAGGGGGCTGCGTGGGCGGAGGGCGTCGCCGCGCTTTGTCCCGTGTCGTGCGCTGTCACGCGCGCTGCCCTTCCGGCGCCCTGCTCACTCCCACGTCTGTCAACAGGTGCGCCCAGCCCCCTGGCAAGGGATTCCTGGTCTGGAGGATGGCATGACTTAAGTGTAGAGGGTGGAAGCGTTGCAAATAAAAGAATTATATATGGTTTTGGACTCCATCTTCTCTGCTCTCTCTGCTCTTATATATATATATATATATATAATATTATATATATATATATATATATATTATATATATTAATATATATAATATATATATATATTATCTATATTATATATAGGGAATCGGAGGATTCGAGGCATACGGTGACAGGATTTCGAACTAGCTTGTCAGCAAGTTTCGAATTCTTGGCGTGTCTGGAGGTGAATTCTGATTAGAGCCGGCTGTCCGAGCGGTAGTTTCCGTGGTTCTCCGATCAAAGCCGGGGAGGAAATGCCGGAGCAGAAGTCTAACAAACGGGCCACGGACGCGCACGGCGATCTTTCCTTCCTCTTCTTCTCACTACACTCACCCTTTACCTGTATACTCCACTACATTACCACACTTGTCGGGAGACATGTCAGGAGATTGGAGAGCATGGAGCTTAGTTCCGGATGGTGTGGTGGGATGAATACCTGGTTGAGGGAAAACATCACAAGCCTACGTGGGCGAGGTCGGATCTTCGTCAGAAAGCGGAGAATGATAACGGCACCGCTGGTGGATAAACATGGTATATTCATTACAGGACCAAGGAACTTGGTAGTTATCGTGCCCGGATTCATCAACTAATCAATCAATTCAACCAATAGTATTTTCATGAAATA